AGGGAGACGCTCAGATCGACCCCAACTGGGTGGTCCTCAATCAGGTGACCCACTCATACTGTGAACCCACTTTAAACTACTTTTGCTGCAAAAGGGTTCTGCTCGTCGCGCGCCCCACAAAGACCCCACAGCCGGAGCTCGTTGCTCCATGTTTAGGCCCCGTGCCTCCTCTTTAGTTTTCCTGCCTGTTTCTCCTTCGTTAAAATCGAAATGGCTGCATGATACTTTAAATTGTCTTCTTCACTGGACAATGTCTTAAAGTCTAAGGTTGCTTGTAAAAATAGGAGCTATAAAGAAGCACCAACCAGCTATTAATGTAAATGAAAATCATAGAAAAATGATGTGCAGCTGTCCTCAATATCTGTCATTAGGGCATGGAGATCGTACAGACCATGAACAGTGATCCTGGACTTGCTGTTGGTAAGACTCTTCCTATGCTTTTTTGTTTAATGTATTTCTGTAATCCAGAAGGGATGTTCAGGAAATTTCTGGGTGGGCTGAGCTAATGAGGGCTGGTCGGCAGAATATACCCCCCCCCCCCCTCAATTTGTAGCAAATTATGAAATTGAGATGCCTTGGCAGCAAATTCCCAGACTGCTTTTCATTGCCAGTCTACCCCTGGAATCCAGACATGTAATATACTGCAGCCACGGTAATTGCTAGACCCCAGACTGCGGTTTGACCCCGCAACGTTTCCCAGGTTACACTGCCTTCAGCGGGGTGGACTTCGAGGGCACCTTCCATGTGAACACTGTGACGGACGATGACTACGCCGGCTTCATCTTTGGATACCAGGACTCCTCCAGCTTCTACGTGGTCATGTGGAAGCAGACGGAACAGACCTACTGGCAGGCCACTCCTTTCAGAGCTGTGGCTGAGCCTGGCATTCAGCTCAAGGTATCGCTCAGTCTGATATATAAAATATCCTGAATGGCAAGTATGAGGAAGGTAATTACAATGCATTCATGACACTAGCACTGTTAGACTGATACTGTTCCTCATACCCTTAATTTTAATTAGATGGGTCCTAGATTACAAAGGACTAGCATCCAGTCCAGGGTATGTCCCTGACTTCCTCCCTCGGGGCCAGATTTATAATGGTTGGTGCCAAGACAAACCCTCTTTTCCCATTAAAATGGTGCTGTTGGGATTAACACCAGACACTCAGGGAGAAGTCAGTGGTGGAAAGGTGTTGACGCGGCTAATTTTGCAACTGGCCATATTGCATATGCATTTGTAGGAGTTCCCTTTCAAAGCACAACATCTAGGGGAGAAGAGTATTTATAAGAATCATGTGATGTGATTTACTATGGTTTGTGGTAGGCAGAAAAAAGAGAGAGAGAAAAAAAGCATGTCTTATTTTGTGTTGCCCTTGGTATATTGGGTCAGCGATTATTTAAATGAACTGACTGCGTCTGTGCTCATAATTTGCACATTTTAGTGGATAACCTGCAGAACTGGCCACTCCTATTGGTGTTTTTTATTGCACGTTACACTAATTTGCTCTGCTTAGTGAATCTGGCCCTATGCTGCCTCGATTAGGCCCCCCAGCCTCCGTGACCCTGACCAGGGAAGTTCAATGCATGGATTACAATGGCTCTAGAATGTCAATCACGAATAGAATATTAATGCAACATATTAATAGTGGTTGTGATAAAATTCAGATTTTATTTACACCTACTTCATGCTATTTACTGTACCTTGCTCATTGCAGTTTCCAACTATATAAATATTTCTTCATTCAAAAAAACAGGGATCCTCTAAAAACCTGATATAACCACCAACACTGGAAACAAATGAGCATCATTAGTTAGAAACCCAAATCCATATAAAATACTTGTTACTCATGGGGAAATACTTATTTCTGATAGTGGTGAATCATCCCTAACCTTTTTCATTTCATCAGGCTGTGAAATCTATTTCTGGACCTGGGGAGCACCTGAGGAATTCCCTTTGGCACACAGGAGACACCAACGACCAAGTTCGGCTGCTCTGGAAGGACCCGCGCAACGTGGGGTGGAAGGACAAGGTCTCCTACCGCTGGTACCTGCAGCACAGGCCCCAAGTAGGATACATTCGGTGAGTAAGACAGACATGACCAACTTCTGGGATAAGCATGGAACTGTTAGTAAATAGCACATGAAAAATGATCCGTAAGGGCTGTTATGTCAAGCTATATCGTTTATACTGGTTATAATCACTTTTAATATAAGAAATGTAGATAAATCACAAAAATTAGCAGTGTAGTGTCCTACCTCCAGAGGAGTGGGTTCAGCCTGGGGAGTTTGCATGTTCTCCTGCTGTTAATGACGGTTTTCTTTGAGTTCTGTCTGAGTTTCTTTATAGTCTAAAATAATGTACAGTAGTCAGGTGACCTGGAATCTCTATAATTGCCCATAGTGTGTCTGCCCTGTACTTCCTGGATCGGGTAAGCTGTCGTAGATGAACAGTATTCAAGGCTGGACTGAAAATCTGGCATATTGGGGAGTTACCTGCAGGGCTAATGGCTATGGGGGCTGGTGTGTTCCTGGCCCTGCTCAACAAAATTTATAGATGGTCCCCCCCCCGCCCCCCCCCCCCCCCCCCAGGCAAAAATTAACCAAGGGGGACACCCCCCTGGTCGGTGTAATATTAGTCTATTGGCTCCCCACTGAGTCTAGTCTGGGCACCACGTTATAAATGGTCTGGCTACACAGCTGTCATAGGGCCACTGGAAACCCCAAAGTCCAGGCCCAGAAATTAATCCCAGTCCAGTCTTGATAATATTTAAATATATTTTTACTTTATTTCCATGTTTAATATGCTATATTTTCAATATTCCTGAAACATATTCTTGAATATAATATATGAATATAGGTGAATCGTCAAACCCTAAATTTCAGGCATTTTCCATACATTTAATTTCTCTCTCTTTTTTGGACAGGGCACGATTCTATGAAGGAACCAACCTGGTTGCTGATACTGGTGTGACAATTGATACCACAATGAGGGGGGGGCGACTGGGTGTGTTTTGTTTCTCCCAGGAGAATATCATCTGGTCCAACCTCAAATACCGCTGCAATGGTGAGTAACATCATCTTAAAATGGGAAGTTCTCTTAATAGACATAGTATATATAGTATTTTGAGTATGATTTTAATGCAGCAGTATCTTTGTATAATTACAAAAGACTTGCATTATAGCTCTTGAAAAAATGAAGACCACTCTATATTTAATTTAATTAAAAAATCAGCATTCTTAAATCCTGCTTTAATCGTGGTTCTGCTGGCAGAAGGCTACACTGTGCGACAGGCGGCTTCCAGGCTCAAGGTTTCTAAGATAGCAGTACCCAAGAACAAGGTGAAGCAGGAGATACTGGCAATGACCAGAAACCAGTCCGGTAAAGGGTGGAAGTGACTTTCTAATGCCAGAGATGACCGTCAACTTATCCGACAGTTTCTCATAAATCAGAGGATGACCTCAAATGTCTTTCAAAAAGAATGAGAAACACTAAGTGGTGTGAAGTGCACTGTGGTCTCTATATATAGTGAGCGGGCTAAGTCTGTGAGAAGGTTGCTGGTTTGAGGCCCAGCGTCTGTAGGCCTGTGGGTCAGGCTCCTAGGCCCCTGTGCCATGGTTGCCACTGCAGGAGGCTGGTGACTTCCCTTCGCAGCCAAGCTGCTTAACTTAATGAGATATTGATTAACCAAACACAATTTTCTTTGAGCTCCCAGGATGTTGCATGGAAAAAGGACACAACTTGGTGATATTAATATGGGAATAAAATGCTACTGAAGCCTAAAGGGCCAGAAGGATTTTGATGCACTGCAGGTTCTGTCTCTCCACAGACACCATCCCTGAAGACTTCCAGGCGTTCAATGCGCAGCACTTTGGGGATTCGCGTTAACCAGCGGAGGGGGGAGAAAATACACAAAAAATGTGACCGTGTGGGAAAAGGCCTTTTGAGTACTGTTTGTTTTTTTTTACTTGTACAGAAAGAAAAAAATGTGTACAAATTACATTCTGTACCTACGCACCTTTGATTGGCTTCTTTCTAATAAATAGATAAACATATGTACTGAACAGATTGAAATTGTATTCACTCGCCTAGTTTATTAACAAGCTGTATTATAAACTTATAATGTGGAGATATTCCTTTTTAATCAGGGCAAATGACTATCTGAAGTCCCATCATTTTTCCTGAGCATTATTATACTGTTAAAGATTTAAAAAAAAAGATGAACAGAAACTGTTTTACATAGAAGTACATGAATGAACTGCCCTGATACGTTCAAATACCAAACTTAAAATTAATTTCCAGAAATTAAAATTCAGAATTCCAGTATATTTCATGTTTTGGAACAATATTTCTAGAATTCATGTGGTAAACTCATCTTAATAAAGTAATTTAAATGAAAAAGAAATCATTAAAATAATGAAACTTAATTCATTTTCTTACTTCTTTTCCATTTGTAATTTCAGGGAAGTACTGCATATCCATCCATCCATTATCGTAACCGCTTAATCCCCACTGGGGTCGCGGGGGGCCCGGAGCCTATCCCGGGAACAACGGGCACAGGCGGGAACCAACACACTGCAGGGCGCACACACTCACACAGCCACACTCACATGCACACAACTACAGGGCCAATTTAGACACACCAATCAGCCTACCCTGCACGCTTTTGGACTGTGGGAGGAAACCATGGTGAAAACAGTACTGTATATATGTTTTAAAAATAAAACATAAGCATTAAAATCTTTAAATGGAATTTTGAGCACATTCCTTCATTTGTTAATTTGTTCCAAAATTTTCCTCATGTACTGTAGGAAAGCTGATGTTATGACATTTCAGGCTGCACGAACTCCCCATTATGATTGTGACGTGACATTTCCAACATAAATGTTACGTAGGTATTATTCAGCAAATATATGGATAAGTCTAAAGACCTATTTAAAAAGTAGAGATATAATACAGGTTGTTAATTTTACTATTTTCTCTAGTATTAAAGTAACCACTAATTTAAACAAGATTAGCAAAATGTTTTAATTAGGTAAACATTTGTATCTGTACATTTCAGATGTGATACGAATTTCTACATAACATTCACCCTTGCAGCATTAAAGGCGTAATTAACATTGGTTATACTTCACATTAATTGCACCTTCATTATGTAATCACTATGCATTCATAGAACATTCATAAGCAGTATGTAAGTATACCTACCTTAACAGCAGCAATACACATTAATAACATTAACATTGTATGATAATAACAAACAAAATAGTATAATAAACATTATACAATTATAATATTTGTTATCATGTAATTTTTGTTATTACAGCTGTTACGGTATACTTAAATGCTTCTTATGGATGTTCTATGAATGCATTATAAAGGTGAATTGAATGTTCTACAAATGCATTTTAAAGGTATTATGAAAGTGCAGTTAATGTAAAGCGTTACCCAACATTTTTTGTTACACACTACACACAAGTGTTACACGTTGATAATGTGTAATTTAAAAAAAAGTTTGTCAGATAAATTGATACAGTACTGATACAGACATCTGCAAGTGCCAAATATGAACATGCAACTAAAAATCTCAGAAAGCAACATATTTTAAAAGCATGTACAAATATGCAGAAATACAGAAATAATACATAGGCAATACAGAGTGCTATAGAAGTTGCAAATAGAAAATATGAACACTTAAAAATCTGTTATCAAGTTGTTTTCACTAATTTGGATAATTCATATATGAAATATCAACTACTGTGCTTATTCATAATTTATCACATCATGAAAAAGACAAAAAAATGAAGAAAACAAATGTTTTACCGGGAAAATATGACACATTGATTAGTAATATCAAGGTTACACTTTCATGGAAAACATCCTTGCAGTTATACATAATCCAGAGCTTGAAATCATGTGAGGATTAATTAAGGACTGATAATTCTGCTATAGAATATTCCTCGCAGAAAGAGGGGGAGTAAACTCACACAGTTCAATGGCTTTATTTATTGTAATAACAATAATTAATATGATTTCAGAAAAAAATCAGGCCTTTGTGAGGTTCTTCAGGTCATTAAAGTCAAGATTGAACTATGAAGACCAGCAAGCAGCAATAATGCTGTACAAAAGGCACAGGTAAATAAAAGACACTTCAGTAACTATCAGGCAAGCTGGCCCATAGAAAGCGGGAGATGTTATCATGACACCTCAGTCTGTTGCCTCTAACTGAGCAGTCTGGCATGGAGCAGAACAGAGAGGGATGCAGCTGAAATGCCCATGAATCTATAACTTCCACCAACTGAGGCTGTACGCGAGTTTGCAGAACAGCAATTATGCGTTAATGGAGAATTACGGCATAATGTTTCAGTGGTCAGATGAAGAAAACTTTTCACTTTTACAACAAAACGGAAAGCCGCACATTTGGCACAAATGCAGCATGCCCCTTCAATCCCATCAAGCATATCGGTGGCAACATAATTTTATGGACTAAGCCTGCCAATAACAGAAACAGGGCAGCTTTAACAAGACAGGAAAAAGTGACAGTATAATCTTACAGGAAAACCAGGCTGAACCCAATAAATACCTATAATTAAAATACCAATAACTAAAACGGAAATGAGCTGCACATGCATCCAACTATTAAAGAAATTTTGTGGATTAACCTGTTGATTCCAGTCACAATCCAGAATTTACATGAATCATGGGCCATCGTCTGCCTATACAAAATTGATAAACAATATATTTTTTGGTTTTGGTTTCTCATGACATTTAACTTCATTCACATGTGAATGTGGTCTCAGTCTTTAAACGGACAACTTTTTATTTTAAAATGTACAAGCCAAAACAATGATTTAACACTAATGTGATTCAAAGTGTAAAAAGAACCAACTATTTTTCAAGGCACTGCACTGAACATCAGTTTATATTTCACAGATTTCTGTCACTGTTCTGTCACAGACATTATACTGTATAGATCTTAAGTGCATAATATTTATTAATTTACCTGATTACAACCCTTTGGTAATAACCATTGGCAAGACTTTCTCATTAAAATTTGTAACAATAAAGTTTAGAAAAAAGTTGAACTTTGACTAAATCTTTTGTATTTGCTAGTACTGACACATTGAAAATATTCCCTATATCATGAAAGCTTATTTATCATGACTAAATGATAATAAAAATAATGTTTTTTTTTTACACTTTGTACCAAAGTGCATTAAATAACAATAAGCAACAAAAAAAATAATGGACCCATAACTCAAAACTTCGCTTCTTTTATATCCCAATTGTTAAATATGTGTATTTCCCACAAGCGTGTACTTGAAAATCATGGATGGATGAATATTTTTCCAAAGCTGGATGAGGTGGAATTTCCCATTAAAGTCTGTTTTTTTGCATAATTAATTGTTCCCAGTAAATGCATTTTACAACAAAAGTCCGAATAAAATTATTTACTTAAAAACAAAGGCTACATTGCAACTGAACAAATTGCCTCAAAAATATCATGGCTTCTTAAACCACAACAATGTTTTGTTGAGATTTCTTGGTATGAATCATTAAGAAAGTCTAAGACCCTCAGAATTATCTTAGCACTGAGGTCATGAAAATCAGAACACAAGATATAATCATTCCTGTTTGCTAATAAACCCTGAGACAAAAAAGAAAACTCAGCAGAGCTCTTTGTTTGTGTGAAATACTTTTATCCAGGGGGGCATTTATTTGTTTTAAATTCTACCTATATAAACCGCTTGATATTCAGCTTCAGGATGTTTTACTTGTAGGTACTAAAGGAGAATGCAGTAGCTTAGCCACTCTACCGCACCTACAGTAAAAGAGGACAATGACATCAAAGCTCCAGGAGGTTCCTTGTGCTAAAATGTTCCGGTATCATATTTAGAATCATCTGGGCTCCAGGCCCCTGATCAGGATATGCAGCTAGAAGATGGACAGATGTTTAGAACTGTTAGAAAAAATAAGCATTGCAGTAAAAATTATATGCGTACAAATTGAATTGATCTAATTAGAATAAAATAGTTCAATAGCAACATAGGGTCTAAGCCCTTCTGCCTCAGGCACTAGTACAGAGAAGTGCTGATGTATCATATGTTTCTGGATTTGACCGATTCTTACGGTTCTCATGTTAACAACATAGGCCTCTTCAGACTGAAATTGGTTTTATATTAATGAAATATTATACAAAAGGAATTCCAAAGACCTCTAAACAAACATTGAAAAAATGCTAGCTCTACCACAGCCGGATTTCAGGCTCTGAATCTCCTGGGGCAGATTATGGGTGACACAAGAGTCAATGTGTAGAGCAGCAGACAGACCCAGCAAGACGCCATCTTGATCCAGAACACTGACCAGCTCCCCTCCAGAAGCTTCTCGATCTTGGCATTGTCATAACTGTGACATGCAGAAGGGGCTTTGAGTTATTAACCAGGTCGGCTGGAGATACACTTGTAAGCAAAATCATTTCGGCACTGGCTGTTTATCTGCTGTTTAGAAATATATACACAACACCAGCTTTCAAACGGTAAACCGAGAGACAATTTACTTATTTTTTGCTCAAGCTTATAAATACATAAAAACCGCTGAGAAACATAAACTTTGGAAAATTATTTTTTGAGGACAAATAGATTCAAAGGAAGAGGAGGTAAAATGGAATTAAGTGATAGCATCTTTGGAATATGATGAACAGGTGAACTCAGTAAACACAACAACCATTACCTCTTACAAAAATAAGCCAAAATCAAAAACGTCTCTCTACACACTCTGTCTAGGCACAAGTGTGTTAAAGGGGCACATCCTCCAACCCCCCCAACCTTACTCCTTTCCACGTCAGTCACAATCAGAAATATTAATATAATAAGGATCTTATCATAGTTGGTACCAAGGTGATTAATTTACTTTTTCATCATACTTGCACTAGACAGAGGAAAACACATGCATGATATAGGACATTATAGTTACTTACTGAAACCAGTTGGTGACAGTCATCATGACGTACAACGACCCAAGGAAGAACACAAAGTGGAAGTAGGAATAACTGTACACGGTGCCCTCAATTTCATCATTGATGCCACGCCGCTTCTCTGTCTCATTCTCTTCCTCTGCAGTGTCTGGAAAAAACACAGCCAAGTGTTAAATGAGAAGCACATGCAATGCTGTTTCTGGCCAGCAGGTGGCTTTTGTAGTCATAATATGGATCATGAAAGATATTTACTTATGACGATGCTTTTCCTAATAGCAAAATATAAAATTGCGCTTCTGACCAAAATCTTTACTGAAGCCAACTGTAGACTGAACCACCCCTCCCCCCTAATATAATTTCAGACCTACTCATTTATTAGTCATTACTAAAAATATTGCAGTAAATATTAAAATATTAATTACACTGTACTAAACATTGGTTGTTAATTTCAATCAATTATAGCCCAATGATGTACCCTTCAGTTGTGTGAGTTTTAACCTGGTGAGCTGATGTTTACAAAGTGATGTTGACAAAAATTATGTTTTTAGCTGTTTATAACAGGTTAACCCTTTCTCAAATAAAAAGATTATAGACATGCAAGAAAAACCGACGGATTGACATGAAAATATGAGCAGGGCTACACAGCTTTGCATTGTGGTTTTGCTCTACATTACATGTGCAGCTATCGATCAAACTATCGGTGCTCACTAATGTTCCCACTTTCGGTTTGTAGAAATAATGGAGATCACCCCCCAGCCCCCCGGGTCCACGACGGAAACATTAGCCGGGGGGAGGACTGATCGCACAGTCCAAAAATACACAAAAAACATCCTATATTATTTCAAAACATGAAACAAAACTATATTTAATTGCACTATATATGGAACGGATATAAATTCTAAAAATGCATCATATTCCATAACTTTTCGATCAGCTAGTGCTAGTGGCATTCCAGTTCATTTCAACAGGCATGTTCGGGCAGTGGCATCTTGTGGTTTGTCACATGCGGCTTCACTGACTGCATTAGAGATTAATCAGGCTAGCAACTTCTGTTCCGAAGGACAAAATTGATTTCTGTCAGCTAAACGTATGGGGTTTATAGCCACTGAGCCTGTGTAAAACGGAGAACTGACTGGTGAACTTGCCGGCTAATATGATATGCATAACAGCTATTGGTTACGGTTTCCTTTTTTTTTGAGCATATAGCTAAAAAAGTATATTCTTTGAGGTGTTCATGTTCAACACCCTACTATAAAACAAAGCAGGAAATTCACGCATTAAGAATTAGTTTAAGAAAGCATCGGTGTGTCTCCTTGCGTGTGCGTGTGATTATACATTGGCATTAAAATGATATTTTATGTGATATGAATATTACTTTTTGGGTGAAAATCTGCTTCACCTGTTAAAGAAACTGCCAGTGATGGTTGCTGGAAATCCTGAGGTGGCTTTAGGAGAGGTGTTGGAATGGCTAAGCTAACGCACAATGACAGACGCAGAGTGACTTTAGGAGAGGTGTTGGAATGGCTAAGCTAACGCACAATGACAGACGCAGAGTGACTTTAGGAGAGGTGTTGGAATGGCTAAGCATATATGTGCAACAGGACTGCAGTGAAATCAAAATTAAATTCACTGACTAAAAAGGCAAGAGAATCTACTGTCTGAATAGTTAATAATGCATCATTTTATACATTGTGTGGGTTAACTTTACTATGCTATGATGCTTATGTATGCTGACAACCCCATAAATAGAGGATAGTATCAATAACAAGTATTAAGCAATCACATTTATTGACCAAAAAGGCAATTAGAGCCACACTAAATATTTGATGGAATAATGCACTTACATCGATCATCTTCACCAAAGCAGAAACAGCAGCGAGCCTTCTAGATGAGGAGGAGACTTGCATGAATAAAATGGCACTCGGTGCCAAATTACAGCACCCTCCGAGGTGACAAGTACTATGTTAGAAATATATAACACATTTATTCATTATAATAATAACAATAACAATTGTAATGTTAAATTAGTACACATGCATGCGGTGGCTCAGCACTGTTGTCCTCCACCTTCCGCCATGAATGTGTCTGCATGTTCACCTTGCACTGTGTGGGTTTCCTCTGGGTACTGTGGTGTCTGGAGTCTGTGTGTGGGTTATATACAGTATGTATTATGTTGTGGGGACCAAATGTCCCCACAATGTGATAAAAACACAAGAAGAAACTCAATTTTATAAAAATCTGTGACTGCAATCAAAAAACTAAAAAATGCTAAAAAAAAGTCTTGTATTTTGTTGGTTACTTATTGTTAAGGTTAGGGCTGGGTAGGGTTAAGGTTCTCATTTTTTGGGAATAGGGTTTTGCCCATAGAAATGAATGGACATGGTGCAGTGTTTAGCACTGTTGCCTCACACCTCTGGGACCGGGGCTTGAGTCTCCACCTGGGTTACATGTGTGTGGAGTTTGCATGTTCTCCCCGTGCCGTCGTGGGGTTTCCTCCAGGTACTCCGGTTTCCCCCCACAGTCCAAAGACGTGCTGAGGCTAATTGGAGTTACTAAATTGCCCATAGGTGTGTGTGTGTGAGTGAATGGTGTGTGAGTGTGCCCTGTGATGGGCTGGCCCCCCATCCTGGGTTGTTCCCTGCCTCGTGCCCATTGCTTCCGGGATAGGCTCTGGACCCCCCGCGACCCAGTAGGATAAGCGGGTTGGACAATGGATGGATGGATGGATGGAAATGAATGGACAGTCCCCACAAAGACATGAGTACAAATTTGTGTGTGTGTGTGTGGATTATATTTATATTAAATTGTGGGGACCAAATGTCCCCACAATGTGATGTTGTGGGGACTATTTTTCAGGTCCCCACATAGATCTGTGAATGCAATCATCCATCCATCCATCCATTTTCTGAAACCGCTTCATCCCAACTGGGTTCGCGAGGGGGACCAGAGCCTTTCCTGGGAACAATGGACGAAGGCAGGAACCAACCCTGGGCAGTCGCCAACACACAGCAGGGTACACACTCTCACACAACTACAGGGCCAATTTAGACTTACAAATCAACCTATCCTGCATGCTTTTGGACTGTGGGAGGAAACCGGAGCCCCCAATGAAAACCCATGCGAACACGGGGAGAGCGTGCAGACTCCACACAGAAAGGATCCGGGACCAAACCCAGCACCTTCTTGCTGTGAGGCAGCAGTGCTAACCACTGCACCACTGTGCCACCCTTGAATGCAATCAAAAAGTAAAAATACCAAAAATACCACTGCAACCTTGTGGTGGATATAAAGATGGATGGATACTGTATACATGACTGCACAAAAAAAAAACTTAAATAGTTAAGATATACAGTACTCTGCAAAAATAATAGGCAGTCAAACAAAATGTTTGAAGCTTTAAACATTTTTATATATTTGCTCAGGAAAAAAATAATTTAACATTAGAGCAAATAAACAATAAAAACTCTGATGCTGATATTTTGTCAGATGGTTTTGGTTATTACACCTATTAAATTTCACCACCAGCTCATTTATTTATTTAGACAAATTTTAAAAATGAGATATTGATTAGCTATACAAAGTGTGCTACTGGTCAAAAAACATGGGTGTATTGGCTGGTTACTGCAAACGCTGGGAGGGGGGGGGGTCCCAGAGAGGCTTTGAAATGTTTAAGCTGACAGACTTTGACAGTCATTTAAATGATTATTTAAACATCAATTTCTTTGACTCCCTAAGACTTTTGAGCAGTACTGTATAGGAGGGAAATTAACTAATTTCCTGATCAAAATAAAAAGGCTGAATTCCATGCGCCCCACCCCCCCCATGCCTCTGGGGTGAGCTGTATTGTGATTTGGACAACTGTTTCAGAGGAAGTGCATTCCAAAATGACAAATACCTCATATTCTGGTGGAGTTGTCCTGCTGACTCCCAGAGCTGCTGAACTTGCTCTGGTGGTGGAGGTCAAACTACAACAAACAAATAACAAGGAGAAAAAAGATGACTGCAAAGCTTTCATCCATTTATAGCTATAATGGTTTCCAATAATAATGCAAAAGCAAACACAGGATTAGGAAATCTTCACAGCAAAGCACTATTTACTAGCTATATTCCGTTTTGGTTACAGAAAGCCTTGCATTGTTAGAATCTAGCCAAATGTATGATGTAGGTAGTAATTTCAAGTGTGCAGTAACTCTCTGAACATCTGAAAAATGCTCCTTTGTGCGCTTCTCCAATTCCTGTCAGTCATACACTGCGAATATAACAGGAACAAAACATTATGATGGAGTCACATTCTGTACTCCTTCATCCGGAACCTTACTTCCAGATAATCCACTAATTTAGGTAACGCTGGTGTATCAGCACTGACTGCACCAATATTCATGTGAAGACCACTTGTGTGACAAGAACGAAGACGACTCTGACCAGGAATACAGCACACAGCCAAAGAGGAGGACTGTGCCCACAGCCGTGGTTATCCTGCTGTCGCTCTCAAAGCCCGAGTTTAAGGGGAAGGTGCAGACAGTGACATTCAGGTCCTTTTCCTTAACCGCTGGAAGGAAAATATAACCATGAGTCAGGAGGCAAACAGAGTGAATATTTTCAGTTGGGTGTAACTACTGTAAATATTCTGGTGAAAACAAACGAGGGGATGTTCAGGGAGCAGAAACAAACATGGGAGGGCTCTATGTTTTTTTCCACCTGGTCAGTGGCGATAAAATTAGCCCAGAAGATGATTCATTGCTGCAATCCCATGCCACTGGTCAGGAGGTTTCCCCCCCCCATCCTCCCTCATCCGCTTCCCTGAAATCAATATGCCTAAGGTAGGATGTCTGAGTACATCACACACACATATTCATAACAGAGTGGCTCCTACAGCTGTCAAGAGAAACCACTGCCATGGTTACTTCTGTTTTGTCTGTTGCAGCGCCTTCCTGTCAATCACCCTTTCAGGTTCGTCGAAGTGGCCTGGCGTTGGCACGGCACTCACTCTCAATGGGCTTGCTGGAGAACGCGGAAAAGGTGAGGTACATGACGTACACGCTGATGACGGCCGACTGCAGCAGGCCAGAGGTGGACTGGACTGGGGAGAAACGGTGTGTAACCAGCAAGGCTCTCTACAAGCACATGTGCAATCTATTCAAATGCATAAATGCTGCCAAATCATAGTGTGCAAACAGTATGGAAAGAAAATCCTTTCAAGCAAACTTGGACAGATGTTTCTAGAACGCTACATGGCCTTACACGGCATAACAAGCTGGATAAAATAAATTACATGACAACTATAAATTTTTACGTTACATATGTGCAAACTTTTATTTTAGATGTGCACTGGATAATATTTTTCCAGCAGCCACAACCTTAATATGGAGTTTTTTGTTTTGTTTTTTTTTTAATACGGGCATCATCTATAGACACCAATCTAACATACCGAACATTGCCCTACACCAGTGAATGTCTCTGAAAGAAGCCAGCTGGCTGGGTACATCTGGCCTTACTCTGTATAAAAGGCGAGATGGCAAGCAGGGACACCAGAAGGCAGAGGCTTCCGTTGATCGCCAAGAAGACCTTGTTGAGGAAGCAGGCCTTGGGATGCGTGTAGAAGAGGCTCATGAAGACCAGCGCCGCCACAGCAATGGAAAAAAGCACCAGAGTGACCAGAGCCAGGGCGGCATACCACAGCTTGTTGTAGCGTACGCCCGACGCCCTGCAACAGGTGGAAACGAAACACGGCCTAAGCATCTCCATCCAAGATCTGCAGGTCTAGCAAAGCTACAATATACAACACATAAAGGTGCACCAGGCCAGGAAGCGTGCTTTCTGGTTTAGCTAAAGGGACGAACACGCTGGCAATTAATAAAGCCAAATCCGGCAATACAAATTAAAATCCAGACACTGCCCAGAATACAGCAGTAAATAAATAATTGGTAGAATAAGTTCAACCTATTCCGGGTTTATCTGTTTATCTTGTCATTAACTTTACTACAGTGGTGCCTGCGGTTCACAAACACAATCCGTTCCAGGAAAGTGGTCGTGAACCAATTTGTATGAGAACCAAGGCAATTTTTTCCATTAGAAAGCATTGAAATTCGATTAATTCGTTCACAAGCCCACAAAAAAAAATTTTTGCTAATTAATTTTCTGGTTTTTATAGTAAAAACACAATATAGTGTGGTGACGGGCAGACCGATGCAGCACGGGAGAAGAGAGAGACCGAGACTTGCTTGCTGGGGAAATCATGCTCTTTATTGACAGTCCTTAACCCTTGTATTGTTGTTGTTGTTAATGGTTGATGATTGTCGCACATGTGTTTGCCTGTGTCTTGTGTGTACCCGGTCCGATGCTTGCGTGTATAAATCTTCTACCGTGTGTGCATCTTGCAGTTCAGCGTCTGACAACCTTGTGTTTCCCACCTGTGTGTTTGGGTTCGGTGCTCGTGGGATGCCTGTTGTGGTCCTTCTATTTACAATTGCACGCAGGGCATGCTGGGACATGTGCCCCGCCTGTGCTACACTAGTAAAAAAAAAAGGAATCTGGTCGAGGAATCTGTTCGACAACCAAATTTTGGACGCGAACCAATGCATTTTTTTCACTAAATTTTTGGTCGTGAACCAAATTGTTCGTAGACCACAGCGTTCGTGAACCGTACGCACCAGAGACCACTGTATTATTTTAAGCATAGTGTGCTCATAATGCTTTTGTCTTGATACAGACTGTCCTTAGAAACACTGTGGTGGTCATACCAGTTGTTGTTCCAGCGATGTGCAAACTCCACCAGAAGTATCAGCTGGATTAGCAAGAAAAGAAACCCACCCACTGCACCCACATAGCGCCACACTGCAAGACAGGACAGACACAGCTTGTCAGTGATTAACGGCTTCTAACTGGGGAATAATTCATACAATGTGACAAGTGACATACTGCAGAGAAAAAGCATTTTCTGCACAAAAGATGGAATAGTCATCATCTTCCACATATCTTTATACATGGATTCCCCAAACAATGGGTCGCCAAATGGCCTTGAAAAGCCTAGTTTATAATAAGGCATACAAAGTGCGGTGCATCTTTCCACGGACCTATCAAAGGAAGAACCTCTGCGGAGGATGCTGCTATCACCAAGTGTCAATGATTGGTTACTATGGTGTTGTCATGTTGAACCCTCATCATTTTGGATACTTTCTATCCAATCAGAGTGATCTGTTTCTAGTCATCATTTTAATATATTGCATATAGTCAGTCAGCCATTCAGTCAGAATAACTAGTGTTTCGTAGTCGTCAAAACGTCCAAATGTAAAGAAGAATATATTTCAGTTGGTTTCACTAAAGCCTTACGAAATGGCGAGGAATGTCCTTAATGCATTTTGTGCGGAGAGGTACTAAGCAATGAAAGCTTTAAAATGAACAAATTACATCGAGCTTGTTTGGGGAGAACTTAATTAATAGCTCAGTTGTTAAAATCTTATCCAGCTCTGATTTAGAGGAACCCAGGGTTTTAGCTTGCGCTACATTAAAAGAAAGACTATTCCATACTCTAACCAAACGCTGTGTAAAGAAGTGCAATGTTAGTCTGTAATATATGAAGCCTTCTCTTACTGACTTACACCAAATGGCGCCCAGTTACTTCTCTCATACATATAAAACTGAAAGTAAATAAACTATATAAATAATTCTTGTGTGTACCCAAATGCCCCATATTTTTCTTGCTTAAATTTAGCTCAGCCCAGGTTGAAACAGTGACTGTAAGGTTAGTTGATTTATGGTGACTACAGACACAGGCACATGCACGCACACACACACACACACACACACACACACAGAAGTTGGTCTTCCTATCTAAATGGGGACTGTCCATTCATTTCTATGGGAAAAACCCCAATCCCAATCACGACACCCTTAACCCCTACCCACCCCTAACCTTAACCATAAGTAACCAACCAAAATGTAAGACTTTTGGCATTTTTAGTTTTTTGATTGCATTCGCAGATTTTTTTATAAAGGGAAATTTCAGGTTTTACTACACTTTGGGGACAATTTGGTCCTCAAATGTGATCTATGCAAACCCACACACACACAAAACATTCCTATATTTGTGGGGACTCTTTCTATCCCATTATTTTAATGCCAACAATGACAACCTTAACCCCTACCCAGCCCTATCCTTAACCATAAGTAACCAGACAAAACTATTTCAGTTTTATGATTGTGTTCACAGATTTTTTATAAAATCGAGGTTTCCCTTGTGGGGACCAGAGAAAAATCCCAGCAAGGCACATTTGGTGATACAGTCAAAATAACACGTTTATATCACACAGTGGGGACATCGAAATATATACATGACCACCCACCCACCCACACACACACACACACACACACACACACACACACACACAGAGAAGGGATAACAATCACAATTTTCTATCTCATAACCCCAAAACAAAATCCCATTCAGTAGGCAAAAAAAACAGCAAGTGAGAACACTCAGAACAGCAATGTACGGTAAAATATCTACCTTCAAGGAATTTCTCTTCATCTGGAAGGAAAAATCCTCCTACACAGCAGCCAACCAGTGCCAGGAACTTCCAAAACCAGAAGCTACACAAGGAAACAATTTGGCAAACAAACTATACTGTTAAACACAAAATATATTTCTAAACTATGATTCATTAAACTGTTCCTGCATTCAACTTTGTCATAATGAAAATTAAAATCATCCTAAGGTACACACACTATACACTCTCAGAAAAAAGGGTACCAATTTGTACCTTTGCTTGTCACTGGGGCTGTATCCTCAAGGGTCTGCCAAGTGTACCCTAGCTGCAGGTAAATGTACCTTTTAATCTAATTTAAGGTACAGAAATGGACTCTGAGGAACATCCACAAGGCATAAAAATCTTTTTTAGATTTTTAGATTCACCTGCAAATATTTGTCCCTGAGACCCTGCTAAGAGTATCATTCCATCGAGAAGATGGAATGATATTATTAGCATCTGTAACAAAAATATTTATAGCAAAAAACATCGATGTTGGCCTGTCATCCACAAAGTAGCATGACTCACATGGTTCAGATTACCAGTTACTCATAGGCGCCCAGACTGGTGAGGAGAGGACTCTCTGCTACCCAGAAGTCTCAGTATTAGATCACTCACCCATTGTGTACAGCTGCGCGGCAGCCCTTGCTGGAGCTCACTCCGAGGGTGAAGACGGTGAAGATGAAGAAGAAGCAGGCCATCCCAAAACAAACCTTATACACAGCAGAGTAGCCCACCAGCGCCTTACAGTTATCCCCGGCAAGGAGCTTACCGCACATTTCCGAGTAGAAGGGAATCTGAGGAAAGACGGAGAAAGGTGACTCACACTGAAAGCACAAGTACTGTGTATATTACCATCTGTGACCATCTGTTATCGAATTCATTCAGACTACGTCATCCAGAAGTCATAAAAGAATGGTAAGAGATTTTAGATGCGATTCTCACTCTCCTTCCATTTGCATTTATAAAACTTCCAAATAATCTACAGAAACTGATAAAACGTGTAATGAACAGAAAAATGATACGTAACATCGGAAACCAGCATGATCCCTCGCTATGCCAAAGGCTGAATTCCTTGTCAAAATCAAAACATGAACGCAGTAACACTTCCAGGTTAATTACACGGCAGATACCAAGTATCATTTTTAATGCTGAATACACTGCTGAATTGGGGCATTAAAAATATACAGAATTAAAGTATTATATCTATTCAAAGTTGCTGCCTGCAACAGATAGAAAAAAGTAACATTGGGAGTATGATCTGCTTATTTACTGCTCTGACCAATAATCTTTAGGCATAAGATCATGTGATCACAGGTGAAATATAATAATTGAATAAGGGAAGAAAATGTGTTTTTATTCACGGCTTTTCTTTAGTCTTCATTAGGCTCTGTAGACTTCCATGCTAAATGTATTTTATGCTTTAAAACATAACAGCCATCACATCTAATTTTAAAAAGATGCGATCAATATCTCTGCGTTTGCTGCCTTACCATAGAGTATTAAGGATTACTTTTTGGCACTGTTCATGAACAAAGAGCAAAAATATTAAACAGATTATTAACTTGGGTATTCACTTAGTAATCAAGGAAGTGCCATAGCCACTAATATCACATAACCAATGAAGAAAACATGATCTGTGCACAATCTAGCATCAACATAACAAAGTGGAAGCTGAAACCACTTTTCCAGGCAACTCAATAAGTAACTCAATGAAGAAAAGCATCACATAGGCTTTTCAGGCCAAACTCATTTAAGGTTCTGTATAATACTTTAACGTTAGCGAAGGCACACCGGCATGCAACTGAACCTGCACATTGGAAGCTACTGCACAGAATGCTTTATTTATGGAATGCACCTGAAGCGCAGTGAGATTTAAAAAAAATGATTTAGCCTCCATTTAGAATTTAAATCTTTCTTCTTAGAATATCTGGCCTAGTGTAGTGATTTATCAACAATAAAGCCTTATACTATCCCAAGTATGAAAAGCTTACATCATTATATTATTTACGTATACGTAGGCCAGGTGGACTGGTCATTACATCTTTCAAAATAAGCTGAGGGAATTTTAAATCACAGAAAGTAATGTTTCTCTATGTTTAATGCATCATGAAAAGAGGGGAAAATATATTTATGTGAAATTAAATTAAAATGTCAAAAAAGAGCCATGCTTGCATAATTTTAAAGAATGCGTAATTTCATTGATCATCACTTCAGTGATTATTCAGCTTGTGTGATTCAAAAATAAGGAATTTCTGAAGATACCAAGAGTGTACAAAGCAGGGCATTCAAGTTTTTAAATGTATGGGTAAAGTAAGATCAACTTAACTCATTTCATTATAATAGCCAGCAGATAAATGTGCACAGGATGTATTGGTCCTGTACAGCTGACAGAGTCAAATGAAAAGCACACTCACATGATCCTGCAACTCCTTCTCCACCGTGGGTGACATCATGATCATGCAAATGCCAGTGACCAACAGGAAGTAGAAGGCATACATGAATCGAGTCCCTGTCGATTGCTTGATATTAGGACAGGCCTCGCAGCAGAGGGTGCACGGGGCATAACCACAGCAGCAGGCCAGCTGGGAAAACACAGAAATTAGGTCACAACAACCTGTCCCACATTCATTTGGGGAAAACACCCAAAGTGACACAATGACATAAGGCTAACCTCTCACACATCAACACTACAGCAAACAAAGATTCACCTCATCAATTTAACAGAAGTTAAATGGTTAAATTAAGCTATTGGAGAGAAATGATCAAAGGCTACATTCATAATACAAGCCTCATTGTCCAATTCCAGTTTTTTGTTCATATTCATAATTGCAATGTGGCCTGTATCTAACTGCAATGTGAATGCATCCATCGCATGCGTACACTGATGCATTTTTACACAGGTCATCTGCATCACCAAGAAAACATGCTGTCTGATGACGTTAGTGCTCAGAGCATGCGTATAGGCAAAACGACCACATGAATTCTGATCTGACCGTTCACATTCATGTTGCATGGCCATGAATTGGATACGTATCCAATCTAGTACCAGATATGAAAATGACCGAAATCTGATTTGAAAAGATTGGATTTGTGTGTCCATGCAGCCCTGAAAAAAGAATAGGTCTGAATTACATTCAGGCAAAAAAATCGGACTGAGTAACAGCTTGGTAGTGTGAATGTCGCCAAGTCAAAAACTGTGAAGGGGTTCGTAGAAGTTTGACAGCATTTTCAAATAATCTAAACAATCAGAAAGACAAACAGCATGGCCATTCCTAAAGATGACAAGAACCCAGAACCACAAAATTACAAAAACCACCCTTCCTCCTTGTGCTACGTGCTTCCTGGAAACAAAACGATGCATACATCTGCAACTTATTTATAATAAATACACAATTTTTCTTCCTACTAAGGAAAATTTTGAAGTCTGACCTAGAAATTACAAATTATCAAAGCGAAGACATGTAGGAGGAGGTGGGTTCAAGTATCTAGAGGAGGCAGGACCTCAACATCTGATTGAACCCACCTCCTCTGCAATCTAATTGGTTATCTACTTGAACCAATCATTTTCCCTTCTGCCCTCAGGTCATTTTTGTTTAAGCCAAGAAAAGTGTCCATTCAGCTGTCTGTTCAACTCCTAACCAACCTGCCATGAACACTAGACACACCTGTAGCACATCAACCTGTTTAATTTGGCAAAAAATCTTTTTATTTACTTATTTAACAGATACATTTATCCAAAGCAACCAGTCCCTCGAGAAATTGGGCTTATGGGACTTACTCAAACAGCTCAACAGCTACATCATTCTTCCGACCAAGGAATTTGAACCGGCAACTTTCCGAGTCGTAACCCACAGCGACACACACCCATTAAAAACACCAGATTTTCCTCGTTGTAAAGTATCACACTATAGTGACAGGCAGAGGTGGAGATTTCAAATCCAGAAAGTACAAATCCAGACCGTGATTTAGCTTCAACCAACCAGTGGAGTACTCTGTAACTGTGACTCATTATGCGCAACTGGTTGGTTGAAGCTAAATCACGGTCTGGATTTGTACTTTCTGGACCTGAAATTTCCACCTCTGGTGACAGGTTGTGTCACAATCTGCTTTCTATGTATGAGTCCTGCTTGTTTTGCTCCACAGCAGTGCAATGGAACTTGAATTCCAGCACTTCCTTGGCATAACGTAGAGTGAACAAAATAGCCTTGATAACACAATGTGTGTATAAATAAAAACTTGGTAATAAAAACGCTAAATCATCATTTGCTCTATGATTTTATTTTTTATATTAATTAGCTTTGAGACAGCAGAGATCTCAGGCTGGATTACCCCAGTGGCTTTGCAAGGCGCTCTTCTCTAGACTGATAAATCAAGGGATGGCCGGTGCACACAAGAGCTTCACTTGACTTTTTCCACTGCCTGATATAGCAGACAGCTGTCACCACAGACCTTCCAAAGACATGTTTCTTCCTCAACACAAAGGACCTAACTGGAAAAAGCCTAAGAATAGTAATAAAAGATGACTGCTTCTTAAGATTTTGGCATTTACTACCTTATAAAGCAACTGTCCGTAATGTATATTCTTTAAAGTGAGTGTGACATGGTCATCTACACTAGAGCAAGACACTTACACCCAGAACCACTTTGCACATTTTTAGAAATATTTAGTTTTTTTTTTGTTTTTCATTCACTTGTGCCAACTGAGAACATGCACACATACTTTACCCTCCAGTTTACACGGTTCATTTTCATTAAAGATGAAACACATTGATGGAAAGGCAAAATGCAGCCAATATATCTACAAGTTTAAGGTGCCAATGCCAGAACGCCTCTGGATGTCTCTTATCTTGTGATAACGCGTTACGTTATTTTAAAGCACCGAAAAGTCGGTACTAGTCAAGAAGAGATTCTTCAGCTACTCAAAAAGATTCGATGATGCCAGAATACAGTATTATGCAGCATGAATGCCATTTACTTGTGCTTCAGTTGTCAACAGTATCTTATACTTTACACCACGTCACTGTAATATACAGTAAACCCTGATTAAACCAAACTGAAAACAGCAAAAAGCGACCCATGTGTAACGACATTGCATAAGCAGGACTGTATTTACAACCGCTGACAAAACACTGTCTTGTTACCGGTTGTGTGCGAACATCTAATTGGACTCAGATGTGAACCAAAGGTCCCCCCCCCCCGCCAGAATAAATAAATAAATAAAAATAACAATAGCAGGCTTTGGCAAGTTTCACCTATTATCCTTAGTTTCCGCACTATCCTGCAACGGAGGATCGACTTCGGTGTGATTTCATCTCCCGTCAAAAACCTTCAGAAGGACGAGCACAATAGCCGTACAGACTAGTACTACTACTACTAGTAAACATGGTTATAACTGAAGCCAGATGCATTATTAAATCTTACAATTGATGTAGATACAATACGTAGCGATGTCCCGGCCTACTTCATCGCCATCTACTCCGAAAACACATGCGGTGATTTCAACGCTAAAGGCTGGAGAGACGATGGACTACTTGCCTGAGAATTACAGCACTTGGTGCACATTTCCAAACTGTTAGATCGAATCGTCCAAAGTTCACGCTTATTATGGTTTGATGGTGGCGAAAGTCGACAGTCCTTTCAGTTTTCGGTGCGGACGCAGGACATAAAAATGCGAAGATGATCACTGACTGAGTAGATTAAGTATTTTCTGCTTTCTCAATCTCTTTTCAAGACGGAGTAATGGTGAATGCAACTTCCTCCCGTGTCAGCCTCTCGAAAGCAGGATCCAGCATAGCTCTCTGGAGTACGCCGGGGCCGAGCGGAAAATCGCATTTTTCCCTCCTTCTTTCCCTCGCCAAGCTGTCATGTTGCGGAGATGTTACACTATAGCGCCGCAAGCCTTCTCTGCACGATCAGCACTGGGAATAAATGTGAAAATCCAATGGATATTTAATGGAGTTAGATTTGATATTTATTTATTACGTTTATACAGTATACAGGTGTTAGGAAAAAAAACATAAAACAGTCGGTTAGTAAGCAATCTTATGCAACCAAGAATACAGGAAAATGTGGGAGTCAATGGCATTGCCAGTTGTTGTGTTAAGAATAATGTTGAAAACAGGAAGATGGAACCTTTTTTCTGTAATGCATTTATTCACATCTTGAATTCTCTTGTGCTCCCCATCCCAGAAAAAACACTAATACTAATATTACTAATACGTTATGTTGACAATACTTTGTAAGCAATGACTATAATTGATCATTAAGGGGGAAATTAAAAAAAAGATACTATTGGAACTTGGCCAGTATTAGTCAGTGAATAGACTTATAGCATTTTTGTCATCGAAACAACAAAAACTGAGGGAGGTTCAAAATTTCATGAAACGGGACAGACATGTTTCCAAGTTACTCCAAACAAATAATGCTTCACCAGTTCCTCAGTGCCGGCACATTACACCCTGCCAAACGAGTCTCAGCGGCAACAGCAAACAAGCCTCAACAGTAGCCCATATAGAAGCTCTAACAATGGCCTCTGTCACACTCTCTAGCAGAACCCCCTCCCCCCCCCCAGCACGACACTGTCAGGGTCAGTTTTGTATAAGCATTACTTAGAGGCTGGAGTATGTTTCCTGCCCACGATATTCTCTGTCACGTTCATAATTTGCTCACAAAGCTGGTTCTCTTCACTATTCCATCTACTGATCAGGTCCATTCTAAGCAACAGATAGTCATCTTGATATATGCACACAAAAGCTCATGCAAGGAAGGAAGACTTCACTGTAGCACATTTTCAGTATTTAGAAGATATGGGCTCAGTTTGGAACTCTTAGAATCAAACACTAACTCATTACCTTAGAAATGACTCCCTTACTTTATATTCATAGTGAAGTTCAAGAATTTATGATTTTCCCTGTGCCTACAGTACCTAGATAGCACCATGTTATTGTTTCAACGTTGAATTATAGTTAGATGCATTGAATTATGGTCAGTGTTAAATTATCAGCATAGAAACTGAATTCATTTTTGGTCAGATTTTCGATATTGAAAAATTGATGGTGGCAAAACCTTGATTCAATGTTGATATAAAGTGAGAGATTGAAGATCAACATTGTTTCAACCTTTTCGTCTGATATGGAATCAATGTCATTTCAAGATATGTGTGCTATCTGGGTACCCAACTCCCATTTTTTTTATAATTAGTGGAAGCTAACACTGCTTTAGCTTACTGTGTACATCACCTAGGTAATTGTATTGGCCTCACACACCAAGTCTTGGTCATCTTGGTCACTGCCACTATTTGTACCATTGTAATGTGTGAGACATTTTTTGGTTACTGCTGTGGAGAGTTCTGGAGTTCCAGATGTCAAAATGTAAATAGTGAATAGCATGTCACACACACACCCAGTTGGACCAGTCAATTTGTGAACTGTATCAGCTCATGCCCCCATGGTTATGAGCTTTTTGTTTGGAAAGGTTGGATGTTCTTGTCTTCTCATTTCATTTGAATCAGAATCAGAAAAAACTTTGACTATCCCTTAAGGAAATTGCTTGTGAGGCTGCACATTACACAACAAAACAAAAATACACAGTACCACATACTACAATATCTATATAAACATTTTAAAAAGTAGCTACTGAGGGCTGCCTAACCCTACTCCTGGAGATCTACCACCCTGCAGAGCATAGGAGCTGCCCTAGTTAAACACACCTGATACAGATAATCAAGCCCTTTAGTAGCATCTTAGTACTTGAGCCAGCTATGTTGTTACTAAGCTGGCTCTAATACTGAGATATTACTCAAGGCCCTGATTCTGTGTATCAGGTGTGTTACATTAGGGCTGCACCTAAGCTCCAGGAGCAGGGTTGGGCAGCCCTGAGTTAGACCAATACAGCTTTAATTTAAAAAGTGAAATGCTATATTGGAAATACTCTTGCGAGCCATATTGTGAGTTTCTGGAAGAATCATTTAAACAGCAGTGAAACAGTTCACGTGGGACTAAATGTGTTTCTGATTCTGCAGACAGCTGGCTAACAGTATACGCTGGAGAATGACGGACATATTTTATACAGCTCAACATATAAGCGGCGCTTTCCACATAGTAAAAAAAAAAGCTTTATAAAAATAATGAAATCCCATCCCTATATGTAAATGCGTGCATAAGTCATCGTGTCACCCTCTCTCTGTCAGTCGGGAGGTAATGTTGAATGGTTATTTACTCACAGGATTTTACCTGCCTCTCTCCTGACACTGAAACACCCCTGCCTTCAATTTGCACATTTCCATGACCTTATGTAACTCACTGCATTGCTGGATCATAGAGTGTTCCTCACTGGCAGACGGCAGTTTGTGAGGCTCCAGAACTCTGTGTCAGAGATTGCAGTGAGCAACACTGGGGCCCCTCAGGGACTCATCCTATTGCCCTTTTTGTTTACTCATCAGCTGTTGCCATCAACAGACAACTCATCGACTGTAGGATACATCAGCAATGGAGGTGAGTCAATGGGCCCGTAGAGGACTTTGTTTTGTGGTACAGTAAGAGCAATCTGCAGCTCGACACCAGCAAGACAAAGGAGCTGCCATTGGAATTCCTGCATGATTAGGAGCCCCTGAGACCCGCCACCATCCAGGGGGAGGAAGTGGATGTGGGACAGGGCTACCAGTACCTGGGGGGTCCACCTGTACAACAGACTGGGCTGGGTGGGCAACACAGCAGCACTGTACAAAAAAGGCTAGAGCAGACTCTACTTTCTGAGGAGGCTCAAGTCTTTTAATCTGTGTAGCAAGTGGCTAAGTATGTTTTATCAGTCTGTAGTGGCCGGCGTGCTGTTCTACACTGAGACCTGCTGGGGCAGCGAGATCAGTTCAGGCTATGCCAAATGTCCAAACAACTCATCAGAAGGGCCAGCGGAGAAGACGATGTTGGTAAAATAGGACAACATTACTGGACCTGTCCTGGAGCCCTTTCTCCCCGCAGCACATTCCATCAGCAAGCAAAGAGCAGCATGCCTGCAGTAAAGCAAGGTGGGGGTAGCATTCTGCTGTCGGGGTGTTTATTTGCAGCTGGGACTGGAGCACTAGTCAGGATAGATGGGAAAATGGATGCGGCAAAGTACCCTCAAATTCTCGAGGGAATCCTGCTGCCCCCTGCCAGACATTTCACCTTTCAGCATGGCAATGACCTGACACACACCACCAAACTCACTGTACAATGGCCGAAGGAGATAAAGCTGAATGTCCTTGTGTGGCCCAGAGCCCAAACTTAAACCCCACTAAAAAGCTGTGGAATGACTTGAAGATTGCAGCCCACCAGCGGGCATCAGCCAATTTGACTGAGCTTAAACAATGAGGGCCTCTCCTGGAGCCGGCACCTTATCGTGGTGGAGGGGTTTGCATGTTCCAATGATCCCAGGAGCTAAGTTGCTTCATGCCCCTGGTAGGGTCACCCAAGGCAAACAGGTCGTGGGTGAGGAACCAGACAAAGTGCGGCTCTTTAGACCCCTTATGGTGACAAACAACATAGATTCACGTTTTCCCTCGCCCATACGTGGGTCACCGAGGCCCCCCCCCCCTGGAGCCAGGCCTGGGGGTGGGGCTTGATGGCGAGCGCTTGGTGGCCAGGCCTGCACCCATGGGGCCTGACCGGGCACAGCCCGAAGAAGGCACGTGGGTCCCCCCTCCAATGGGCTCACCACCTGTAGGAGGGGCCAAAGGGGTCGGGTGCAGTGTGAGTTGGGAAGTGGCCGAAGGCGAAGACCTTCGCAGTCCGATCCTCAGCTGCAGAAGCTAGCTGTAGGGACATGGGATGTCACCTCTCTGGTGGGGAAGGAGTCTGAGTTGGTGCGCGAGGTTGTAAGGTTCCGACTAGATATAGCTTGGTCCGCATTGTCGGCAGTAAGTCGAACTCGTTTCTAGTGAGGACTGGACTCCGCCAGGGCTGTCCTTTGTCACCGATTCTGTTCACTGGAACAGTTCGCAGTCAAGTGTGAAGCGGCTGGGATGAAAATCAGCACCACCAAATCCGAGACCATGGTTCTCAGCCGGAAAAGGGTGCTCTCTTTGGGTTGGGGCGGGAGGTCCTTCCCCAAGTGGAGGAGTTTAAGTATCCCGGGGTCTTGTTCTCGAATGAAGGAAGGATGGAGTGGGAAATCGATAGGCAGATCAATCTGGTGTCAGCAGTGATGCGGGCGCTGCATCTATCTGTCATGGTGAAGAAAGAGCTGAGCCAAAAGGCAAAGCTCTCAATTTACCAGTTGATCTATGTTCCTACCCTGACCTACGGTCATGCGCTGTGGGTAGTGACTGAAAGAATGAGGTCGTGAATACAAGCGGCCGAAATGGCTTTCCTCCGCAGGGTGGCTGGGCTCTCCCTTAGAGATAGGGTGAGAAGCTCGGTCATTCGGGAGGGACTCTGAATAGAGCTTCTCCAGATGAGGTGGCTCTGGCATGTGGTCAGGATGCCTCATGGACGCCTCCCTGGTGAGGTGTTCCAGGTATGTCCCACTGGGAGGAGGCCCCGGGTCTCTCAGCTGGCCTGGGAATGCCTTGGGATTCCCCCGGAGGAGCAGGACAAAGTAGCTGGGGAGAGGGAAGTCTGAGGGAAGCAGGGTTTCCCTGCTTAGACTGCTGCGCCAGCAACCCAACCCAGAGAAGCGATAGAAGATGGATGGATGGATGGATAAACAATGAGGAAGAGTGGGCAAATACTACCCAGTCTAGGAGTGCTAAGTTGGCAGAAAAGTATCTGAACAAACTCAAGACCACAACCAGAAGGGGGTTCCACAAAGTATTGATGCCGGGGGGGTGATTCGTTATGAATCTCAGTTATTCTTTTCTATTTTTGATTGTCTTTGAGCACTGTAATTGGCAGAGATGAACTGGTCAGCAGTTCTGGTACTGTATGTGTACCCAAAGCTAGACTGAAAATAATTATGGAGGAATTATCACACTGTGACACCTCGGTTCTGTTCGGACTGGAACCCGCCAAAAAAGAATGTTTTATTCACGCATAGCCACGTAGTTCACATATTAGTCCCAACACATCTATTGGCTGTCATCACTGTCCATCATATAATACCTGCATTAACCCAACAGTCACCTTTTACAGTTGAGAGTATATGTATATGTGTATGTGTTCAA